GGGAAAGCCAGGCTGGCGGCCAGAGGGGGGTGCGGTAAACTCAGCCTACCACGCAGCAGCTGCACGTCCGGGACAAGCCTCCCACTGCGCTGACTTGTAGGTCTGTTGGGGAAATGTGGTTAAATATAGCGCTTGGCCTGCACGCAAGGGGGGTGGAACACTCAGAGAGGGTTTGAACCTTGCTCTGCAGCTTACTGGCCACCAAGATACTCCTTGGTTTAAGCATCTGTGAAATGGGGACATTACTAATACTGCATCCTCGTTGTACTACACACCCTGAAAGCCTGCTGGGCCTTGGCTGACATCTGTAAATGGAACCCATTAATATTTGTATAGGGAAATATGTGAACATTCACACTAACTGTGATAAATGTGAAGCATTAAAACCACCTCTTGCCAGTCCACATCATACTTTGCAGCTAAATGAAAACTTTCACTCTCCATGTGGGCATCTGGACAGGGCTTCTGTTCCTGTACCAGGTGTGGCAGTTAGTTAATGAGTGTTCATGAAGCTAGTTCCGTGCCTAATAGGTGTGATGCTTTGGTGAATTCCAAATAGTGATTTTTTTTTTTTTTTTAGTATTAATAGAATATTTGGAAAAAGGCACTTTAATTTCTCAGATTAACCAGCTTTTTGCCATTATTGAAGCATTGGGGTACAGAGTGAATGCAGATCTTATCCTTTCCTCCTAACTCACAGTTAGTAAAAGCATTCTCTGACTGTTCCACCTAATGATGCTCAGAGGAAACTGGGCCAGGCGGGGTGCTCAGAGCACTGCATAGATTATTTCACCCAGTAAACACAACAGCCTCGAAGGTGTGTAGCGTGATTAAATGACCAGCATCCCATTTTACAGATGTCAGCCAAGGCCCAGCAGGCTTTCAGGGTGTGTAGTACAACGAGGATGCAGTATTAGTAATGTCCCCATTTCACAGATGCTTAAACCAAGGAGTATCTTGGTGGCCAGTAAGCTGCAGAGCAAGGGTTCAAACCCTCTCTGAGTGTTCACACCCCTTGCGTGCAGGCCAAGCAGCTATATTTAACCACATTTCTCCAACAGACCTACAAGTCAGCGCAGTGGGGAGGCTTGTCCCGGACGTGCAGCTGCTGCGTGGTTAGGCTGAGTTTACCGCACCCCCTCTGGCCCGCCAGCCCTGGCTTTCCCAGCCCCTCGTGCTGGGTCTTGCATGACAACGGGGCTGGGAGCAAAGTGAGGTCATACAATACATGCTTGTTGGTGAGAGATGGGTTGATGGTGATGTTTCGCCGCTAAATAATACAACGCACGGGTTTAAAATCAGAGAGTCATGTGCCCGTTTGCATGGTACAGTCGTACAGCTTACTGGAAACGGGGGAAAGCCCTCACCCCTTTTATCTTTATTGGGTAAAACGACCTGCTCCTGCCCACTGCGGGTCAGGGGTGGGCTAGCAAGCATCCAGATTCATTCTCGTTGAGAAAAGATGCAGCTCACCACATTGCCAGCCTTAGAAACCTAGAGGCCATTGGCCTTACCTTCCTCCAGGTGCAGCGACTCCTCATCAGTGTCATTTTAGCTGGAATGCCTCACATTTCCTGCCTGGGAACCATACCTGCCACTCAGCATGGAAACAGCCTTTGGACCCAGCACGGGCTCCTGTCCCATCCTCTGAGCCTTCCTCCTCCGCCCTGGCCTGCCTGGCACTTCCTACAGCTGTCTGCACGAGCCACTGGGATCCCAGCCAGGAGGAAGGCCCCCACTTTGCATGAGATGTTTTTCTAACTCACCTGTGGAAGGTAGTGGTACATGTGGCTGGAGCATGTTATGACACTGTCTATCGAGTTTCCTGGTAAAAATAACACTGGAGCAATTTGCAAAGCTTTAAGCTGCTAGCAAGCAGGGAAGAATATGCATCTCATAGCTTGGCACCACTATGTTGGCCTTATTTATCCTATTTTAGCTCCTTTTCCTTTTACAGCTCTGTCCCTTTAAGCGTGCTGTCATCAGCGGGTGTAGTCATCATTTGATCTGAGGAGTTTAATTACTTGTTTAGATCCTTCCTTATTCCACGGGGGATTTAGGATGATTTTATCTAAATTGTGAAGAAAAGTGGCTGTCTGCGCAGTCCCCTACAGATTTATAATCCTACAGTTCTGTATCTTTTAAATTAAACGCTCTGTGACATTTTAAGCTTTAAATAAACACTGTTTAAAGCATTTTAGAGGATATAGCTCTTTTTTTCTGTCTTTGGAATCTGTGTTCCTCACCCCCCCCTTCCTCCTCTTTGTATGCCTGCCGTAGTAGTGTAGCGGCTGCCCTGAGCAGTACTCCACCTGGCCTCCACTCCTTCGCTTTGCAAAACCGACAGTAGTTTCTCACTTGCTCGGTGCCTGTCATTTATGTACGTCAGTCTTTCTGTCTCAACTACTGGAGGAAAAATTCAAGATAAGAAAGGAAAACGTGCCGCCTCACTGCGGATCCGTCCGTCTGCTGACCCTGAGAGCCCCGGCCCTTTCTGCCCCTCACGGGGAGCAAGAACATAATAGGAGGCTCATTACTGGGTGGCCCTCCATCAGAGGATGCATTTCCCAGCTCTCCGATGGAGGAGCGTGGGCCAGCCCTTCTTTTCATTATGGAACTTCTTTAGGGAGACCACGTGCAAGGCAGGTTGCAGAGAAGCTCGGGTTTCTCAGGTTATTATCCAAACTGCAGCTTCTCCTACAGACCACCCAGGAAGACTTTTCTTAGAGCCTACTCTCTCCATTTCAGGGATCATGCCTTCGCAATCTCAAGTGTCCAGAACGGCAGAGACTCTGAGATGTGTGCATTGTATAGCATTGCAATGAAATACAGCTCGTGGTGGAAAAGCAAGGAGAAAAACAGCTAATACGCCAAAGATGAAATTGCACCTGACCCAGGGCTGTGAGTGGTTTTGCCATGAAAAGCAGGGAAAGCATACAGGAGAGATAAGCATCTATCAGGAGGCTGGAGGGCTGGGCCCGGCTGTAGAGAGCAGGGCTGCAGAGAGCTCAGCACACATACAGAGGAGGGGAGGGAGGCTGGGCAGGTCAGCAGCCCAGAGAAGAGCCCTGGCCTCACAGAGCAGCCTGTGCTGGTCCCCAGTGTCCACACAGGGAGGGGGGCCAACGGGCTGCCTCTGCCCCATTCCAAGGAGGGAAAGGCAGGGAGTGCCCAGAAGTTCAGGGAGCCCCAGGATGAGGAGGGGTGCATGCACTGGGGCAGAGGCCACACAGCTGGCACTGAGCCACCAGTAAGCCTAGTCCTGCTAGGCCTGGAGTCGCCGAAGCAATACCCTCTGGGGCAGCCACAGGATATAGTTTGGATGCCGCTTAAAGGGGAGGGTGCAGGGCCCATGCAGAAGGTTTCCCTTTGCAAGAGAACTGCTCTCCACGCTTGGTTCACTCGGGATTCTGCCAAAAGGTGATGCATATGGTGGAGTGTCTACAAGCACATGTGGCTGTATGCACATAAATGTACGTGAACATGCATATGATTATTTATATGGCTCATGAATGTACACAGCTTTCTCTGTACTTTCCCGTTGTTGTATTTTTCCCTCTCACTGCGGGAAAACCAGTTAAAAGCCCTTGGAGTCGCCCGGCTCTTTCCAGGAACATTACTGGGTCCAGCTGTGCAAATTCAGGGTGTAGGCTACACACTGTCAGCATTGCTCCACGCCCTGTGGGAAGGCCTCAGTGCCATATCTAGGACAGGGTGGTCAGCGCCCTAATTAAATTTGAATTTGAATTTTTGTCAAAGGAGTCCCCGAGTCTTCCCTTTAATCCACGTGCGAGTGGCCCCATCCATGGCCCCTTGCGTTTGTGGGCCGCCTCTGTCCGTGCCATGACAGACAGGAAGGTGAAGGGCCTGTCCAGGCGTCAGGACAAACCCCATCTGCCTTCACCGGGCCCCTGGAGATGACCGTCACCAAGAAGCACTCAGCTCCACGCGGCTTACCTGGCTTTGAAATTGTCATATTTGGGATATTTTCCTCAGTTTTCAAGTGTCGCTTTTTGTCATAAATCACACCTCCTGGCAGGTTGCTAGTTGGTTTCTCAGTGAAGCGATCTTTCTAGGCCCTCGCCTATTTATTCGCTGACGGTGCTGACTGAGCACAGTGGCCAGCGCTGATCCGAGAAGGTTGCTTGTGTGTGCTGAAGTATTTGGTCCTCACAGTAGTAGTGTCACCACACCATCGTGGCACCACCACTACTCCTATTGGTAACATTGCTAGTGATACTACTTCTGTGTTAGCTATACGTATAGAAAAAGAACACATCAGTGTAAACAAACGTGAGTATAGGTGGCCCTATTTATTATATCGCGTGTGATACAGTATACTGGGTATTGGTGGTATTGGGACGGTTCTTACCAATACCCCTATTCACCTTGTATAAACATGAGGAAGAGGAGGCTCCAGGGGGTTCACTACTTGGCTGAGGCTAGTGAGTGCAGAGCTGGGGGCTAATTCCCAGGCCGGTGTTGACCAACCTGTGATACTGCCTGTGCGTAGTGTTCTGTCCCCACAGTGAACTCCATGGCCGGGCACTCTGCTTGGGAGTCCTTCCTTGGGATAGTGGAAACGTCCTGAACAGCAGTGGGCCATACGCAAGACCACGTCCTGGGCTGCTGTCTTCAGCTCTCTGGGGGATACCAACTGACGATGTGGTGTGCCATCAGATGGCGTTTACTGTCCCAAATATGCGTTTAGACTCAAATTACATAGATGTGAATAGAAAACACAATAATACAGATTTCATTTCTTTTTAGATTTCTAACTTTATAGACTATAGCTCCAAAGATAACTGCAGCAAACTCGAGAGGGGGCTGCTCAGGGTAAGAGTGGCCACACGCATTTTCAGTTTGCTTGGGTCTCTGGGAAGGCCTCCTCTCACGGAACGTGACCTGCCTGACACGGATGCACGCCGATCTGACACAGGCGTGTTGTTCACGTAGCATGCACTATAAAAACCTCTCTTTGTCTCGTTCTGTTTCTGCAGATACTGAACGGCTGTATTCAGTGGTGTTTCAAGAGATATGTGGCCGCTACGGGAAGAACTACAGCTGGGACGTGAAGTCCCTGGTTATGGGTAAGAAGACGCTGGAGGCTGCGCAGATCATCATAGACGTCTTGCAGCTCCCCATGTCCAAGGAGGAACTGGTGGAAGAAAGCCAAGACAGGTTAAAGGACCTGTTCCCCACGGCCGCGCTCCTGCCAGGTGGGTCCTCCCCGAGTGTGCGTGCTGGATCACACGTGTGAGCATCAGCAGCGTTGCTCTAGATCACTTGCACGGTCCCCGCCGCAGGGCACGCTTAGCCTGTCCTCGCTTGTCTTGTTAAGTCTCGGGACTGAGTCTCTCCCGGGGGCTCAGTCAAAATAATATGCATCAGTTTCACTGATTTCCGGGGGCCAAAACCATTTGCGTTTTGTTTATATCAGTATTCTGTAAAGATCATGTTCACGATGGAATTACATCTATTAAAAATTCAATTTTTAATAGATGGCTTTGCCTTTTGTTTGTTTTTGTTTTTCAAAATCAGATATAGGATTAATGTTTCAGCAGCTATTCAAACTTCAACAAATTGATAAGCAGCTGAATCTCCCCGAAGAAGCTTAATTTAAAAAAAAACAAAAAACAGAAAAAGTTAAAAGCCAAACTCATTTTTAGCCTGTCTGTTTATGTGCCACGCTGCCCTTTCTTGACTAGTATCCAGTCTTCTTTTGAAAGGAAGGATGACTTTGTTCCCTCCAGGCTTGTTAGCTGACGCTCAGTCAGAACAGAATTGCCTGCTGCTGCTTGCTAAAAGTGAGAAGGTCAAGCATGTTCTAGATTATAGATCCAGAAATGCTTGAAAGTAAACTGTTTGAAGATCCTTCTAGGGACAACATGGCAAACACTGTCTTTAGAATTCCTGGTGCAGAGGAGGGGAAAAAAGTTGCAGTTATGGCAGTAGTTTTAAAGTTGTATTAATATGGATCATACACGTTTTTGAAATGCATGTTATTATTTATACATATGTCCAAACATGTTGATTGAATATTCCTGGGAACCGGAGAATGTTCTTGCAAGGACCCAGCTAACGGCAGGGTGTATGTTGGATTAAACATACACACACATACTTACACACACATGTACACAGAGGCAGACAGGTGCCCTTTGTAGTTATTCTGTCTGTGTCTGCTGCAAGTCGTAATACCTGTGAACTTCAGGCACTGGTGCACGTACTGAAGAACTCAGTTCTCTGCATCATAATGTCTTTCTGCACCATTTGCACTTGAAGTTATCCTGACAAGTCTTGGTGGAAACACATCCATACAGTTACTATTTTTTTTTTAATTGTGATTAAAGAAAAAACACACACATAGTGTGAAATGTACTATCGTTTCTACTTTTAAGCACACAGTTCAGCAGGGTTAAATCATTCACATTATTTTACAGTGGATCTCCAGAACTTCTTTACCTTGTAAATCTGAAACTCTATGCCCACTGAAGAAAGCTAACTACCCATTTCCTCTTGCCCTCAACCCCTGGCAACCACCATTCTGCTTTCTAAAAATTGACTATTGTCAGTACCTCTGATGAGTAGAATCCTACAGTATTTATTTTTTCATGACTGTCTTATTTTATGTAGCATGATGTCCTCAAGTTTCATCTGTGGTGTACTATGTGACAGGTTCTTCCTTTTTAAGGCTGAATAATATTCTCTTGTATGTGTTGACCACATCTCGTTTATCCATTCATCTGTCGATGGACACCTTGGTTGCTTCCATGTCTTGGCTATTGTGAATAATGCTTATATAGTCATGGGTATGAAGATTATCTGTTTGAGACCCTACTTTCATTTCTTTTGGGTCTATACCCAGAAGCGCAATTGCTGGATCAGGTGGTAATTCGATTTTTAATTTTTTGGGTGACCACCATACTGTTTTCCATAGTGGCCACACCATTTTATATTCCCACCAACAGTCCACAAGGGTTCCACTTTTCTCTGCATTCTCACTAACACTTTATTATTTTCTTTATATTTTCCATAATAGTTATCCTAATGGGTGTGAGTTGGTATCTCATTGTGGTTTGGATTTGCACATCTCTAAGGCTTAGTAATAATGAGAACCTTCTCGGGTGCCTTTTGGCCATTTGTGTGCTTCTTTGGAGAAATGCCTATTGAAACCCTTTGCCTATTTTTTAATTTGGTTGTTTGTTGTTGTTGTTGTTGTTGTTGAGTTGAAGGGTTTCTTATGTATTCTGGATATTAACCCCTTCTCAGACATGTGACTTACGGACATTTTCTTTCTGCAGGTTTCCTTTTTGCTCTGTTAATTGTGTCATGTGATGTGCACAAGTTTTTAAGTGTTAAGTCCCGTTTGTCTGGTTTTGCTTTTGTTGCCTGTGCTTTTGGTGTCATAGCCAAGAAATCTCTGCCAAATCCAATGTCATGAAGCTCTCCCCTATGTTTCCTTTTTAGGAGTTTTATAGTCTTACATCTTACAGTTAGGTTTTTAATCCATTTTGGGTGAATTTTTGTATATGGTGTTAGGTTAGGGTCCAACTTCATTCCTTTGCATGTGGGTAGTCTGTTTTTCTAGCACCATTTGTTGAAGAGACTTATCGTCTCCCCATCAAGCAAGTGGTCTTGGCCCTCTTGTTGAAGATCATCTGACCATATATGTGAGGGTTCATCTCTGGGCTGTCTGTTCTACTCCATCCGTCTTTAGGTCAGTAACACACTGTTTTGATGACTGATATGTTTTGAAATCACGAAATGTCAGACTCCCAACTTTGTTCTTCTTTTTCAAGATTGTTATGTCTGTTCAACTTCATATGAATTTTAGGATGGATTTCTCTATTTATGCCATCGGGATTTTTATAGGGAATGCTTATAATCTGTAGGGTTGCTTTGCCTCTTCCCTAATGGGGGGTGTAATCCTGTTTGGGGAGAAGAGAAGAGCTTTTCCACATTTATGTGAAAATCCATAGTCAAATTTCCTCACCAGCATGTGCTTTGAGGTCACCTCACAGATAGGACCTGAGTCCATTCAAGTTTTCTCGTACATGATCAACCCATTGTGTTGGGTTCCTGGGAGTGCCCTAATAAATTAATGAACTGAGTGGCTTAAAATAGCAGAAATTTATCATTTTACACTTCAGAAGGTAGAAGTGAGAAATCAGGGTGTGGGCAGGGCCATGCACCCCGGCCCTGAGGCTCGAGGGTAGGGTCCTTCTCCCTCCCGCCAGCTGCAGGAGGTGTCCAGCCATCCTCGGGGTCCCTTGGCTTGTAGCCACGTCTCCCCAATCTCTGCCTTCATCTTCACAGGCCATCTTCCCTGTGTTTCCTCCGTCTCCAGATTTCCTTCTCCTTTCTCTTACAAAGAAATTATTCATTGTGTTTAGGGCCCACCCCCAATTCAATATGGCTTCATATTGATTGACATGATTACAGCTATCAGCACAAAGACCCTATTTCCAAATAAGGTCGAGTTCCCAGGTTTCAAGTGGACATGCATTTTTGAGGGAGGAGGTTTCATCCCAGCACACGCCCATCCATTCTTTGCTACTCCTAGCCTAGCCTGTCACCAGCCTGGGTGCCCCAGAACCTCATGCCTCTGGAGCCAGGACGCTGGGTCAGCCATGCCGGCTTTGCAAGCGTTGCATGAGCCCCCACCCGCTGGCAGGAGTCTGGCTCCTCTTCCAGCCCCTCAACCCAGCTCTCTTGTTTTACTTCCTGCCACACCCCCTCGCACCTGTGTTCTAGCTGAATTGCTCAATTCCATAAGACGGGACCAGTTTTTCAAACAGTCATGATCCCTGATATTAGCTTTGAATCGGTGCAGGGTACCTAGGAAATTAGGACTGAAGATCTGAGCGTGGCCAAGAGCCCTCTCCGTCACAGCAAGCACCTTTTCAAAGCAGCACAGTTCATTCGGAATGCCTAGAAAGAGGAAAGAGGTGCTCTGCCAGAATCAGTGATGTCTAAGAAGGAAGCATATTCCCAGGAGCTTGGGAACCATCCGAAAACTGATGGCTGGAGGCATGGCTCTGAATTAAATCGTTACGAGACGCACTGACAGTGGCTGTGGCTGGCGGAAGCCTCCTGTCAGGGAACTAAAAAGCAAACAGTAAGGTTTTTAAGTGATGGCTCCATTTTAATGGGTAAATATCTAAAAGTTATAAAAAAAATTTTTTTAAATCTGTGTGTTAGCCAGATTTCCTGAGATTCTGTAAGATTTCTTTTAAATCCGTACTTAAAGCTATAATCTTAAAAAACTTATACGTAGGGATATGACTACTATCTGCATTCGGGAATTTAATTTGGGTGAATTTTCTAATGTCAAAGATAAACAGAGCCAGACACTAAAGTGGTCAGCACAGATTTTCCTCAGCAAGGTACTGTTGCAATAGGGGCAAGAGTCCAACGTGATACTGGGCTCAACTGTGGTTTACACAGAGCTGACGGGGCATTTTAAGGGGAAATTCAGGGAGTAGGGGTGGGGAGGGGCTGGCTGGGGCTCAAAAGAGTCAGGGAAGTGAAAAAGTACAGAAAGCAGAAAGGTGGATGTCCCCTGTGAGCCCTTCCGGGTTTGTCCACCGGCTCTCATGGAACTTGGGCCCCTGCCCTCCCAGGGAGGCTGGGAGGAACTGTGCATTATATTCAACCTTACAGGAATGTGATTATGGGGCCTGAGTCACCTGGCAGGCAGCTTGGGACCATTGTTTCTCTGGTTATAAACTAGCCTTCCTCCTTGCCTCCTCTGTCTGGTAAAGTGTTGTAAAAGACTGAAATGCACGAGGGACACTCCTCCCCTCCTCACTGTTGATCTTCATTGTGGATCAACTTCCCTCTTTTCTCTCTCACACAAGGGCTTCATGACTATCCCATTGCCTTAAGATGGAATGCTACATACACTCTTAAATTGGAAAGGAAATGAATACAAACTCTATGTATGGGAGAATAAAAACAAACTATAACTAAATAAACTGTTATAACTCGTAAGCCAGCCTTGCGTAGAAAATGATATCATCCTACTACAATTTCTTTGTTTTCTGCCTTAGCTTCAGAGCCTCATTTCTTTTGGAATTTCTTACCTAATGGCCATTGTCAGCTTTGCATCTGAGTAAGCTCTTGAAAGCTGGGTTCTGATCCTTGTGATTATCTTAGGTTGACACCTGCCCTGTGGCTGCTTCACTCCAATCTCTTCAGGGGCCTTCTCTATGTCTGTATCTCTGTCTCTTGTAAGGACACCAGTCGTTGGAGTTAGGGCCCACCTTAATTGCAGAGTGATCTCATCTCAAGATCCTTAACTTAATTACATCTGCAAAGACCCTTTTCCCATGCAAGGCCATGTTCAGAAAGAGCATGGGTTAGAGCTTGGGTGTATCTTTTAGGTGGCCACTGTTCAAACTTCTCCACCTAGTCATGTAGCCTTTGGCCTGTAACACTGTGGTGTTAGCTGACCTGCCTTGCAGGCCACTGTGAAAGGTACTTGTGAGAAAGGTGAGTGCCAAAGCACCATCCACGCAGGAGGCCCAGGTACCCACAGCAGGAGGCCTGCGTAGGAGCTTGGATACACACCATGCATCCGGTCCTGGGACCATGACACTGTTCAGCTTAAAGGGAAGGCAGGTGGCATGTATCAGCTGACCAGAGGGCCCACCCACCACAGTGGCACGTGGCGTCTTCATTGTCTGACTCTGCAGAGATCTTCTAGACTTTGGCCCAGGACGTGGTTCTGAATGCACACCACAGCATTGAGGGTGTAGTCAGTCCTCAGTTTCCTCTCCCCCTTTGTATCGTCTAACACACAGCAACCCATCTGCCTTCGCTTCCTCCCTCCCCGTAGGTCTCAGGGCGAGTCACACAGAGAATGCCGGACCTTGTAGGGTTTTGATGGATAGGTCCACTCGGCAAACGAATTCTAGGAGCACACCTGAAAAACTCGTGCTTTCCTAGCAGTCCTTTCTGTATTTTTCCTTTTTAATCTACTTTAATTACAGCGTTCTTATTCTCACCTACCTTCTGTCTGTAGGATGAAGTAAAATAGAAGCAATCTTCCTATGTACAGTGCTGATTCTTCACTTTTCCCGATTCTTCCCCTGGAGACTGATCCCATGAGGGCTGATTCTTTGTAGCAACGGGTATCCCGTCTTCCTGCCCTTCCCTAAGGCTGATAGACGCACACCAAGTGCTGGGAGCTGGTAGCTGGCTTTCATCTGCACACTTAATTAACCAGCTTCTCCCTGGGATGGAACTCCATTTACATTCTCCTACTTCTCAGAGAGAGAAAAAGTTTGTGTGCAATATTGAAAGGATACAGAAGTTTTTGAAGGAATTAGGCAGTTACGTATCAGGAGATTAGAATCATTTCTTCCTGGCAGTACCTTGAAGTTTTACCGGATGCCATGATGCTGGTTAGCACTTACTTGGGACTTCCCTTAATGCTTGGAGAGTGCACCGCCGTCATCTTGCACAACCAGCCCTTCTCATGCCTTTCCTTGCTGCGACTCGGCTCGTGAGGAGAGCTTAACTAACCATTGCTCTTTGACAGCTGACGCAATTGAGGCCCACAACTGAGGGTGCGTGGTTGCCTGAGTATCATGGCCTGGGGGCTACGGTCAGAGCTTTGTCTTGGAGTTCATCTTCATGCCGGCCCCAAACTTTACAAAGGATCTCAGCATGCTGTGGGTGGTTTACAGATAGTCTGAAAACATTTTCGATTAATCTCACTAACTACAAAAATGTCGAGAGACACACTACACTCTCCAGTATAGGCACGTTGGTTCATTCCATGTATACCACTACAGTGCCGCCACGATTGACTTTTGCAATATTCACAGAAGCAGAAAGGTTGGAAGCATATGCTAAAATAACATAACCTGTATTTAAAATTGTAAAATGAATAGCACCAACGCGCTTTGACAAAATACTCTTTTTACTATGTGTTTTGGAGACAGCCATGTGTTTTAAATGTTCTCCATTATTTTTTTTTTTTAAGTGTTGTTTAAAATGTTGGTGATACAGTAATAAAAATCTTGTTTTAAATCAATCATTTTGATACTCAGCTTTAATCACTGTGTTATTCACAGAGAAGTTCATTACTGGCTTTTTTTTTTATTATAGCCATTCTTTTATCTCAGTTAGCTTATGGTTGAAATTGAAAGTTAGCTAATAAATTTAATCCTCCAGATACTAATCAGTGGTTGTTGCAAACTAATTAAAGTTGGGCATTTTAATATGTTTAACCAGTGGCTTCAAACTTCACTGAAGCTCTTCATGTAGGATATTTTTACTCTGGATGAATGTTATTTTTCAATGAGGAGGTATGTGTCCGAGTTCATGAGAGCTCTAGTTTTCTTTTCTGGCTTTTATCTGGTTTTGGTTTTAGGGAAGTGCTGATATCCTATAAAATGAGTTGGGAAGTGTTCCCTCCACCTTCCTGAAAAGTTGTTTGGAATTGGTATAATTCCTTTCTTCTGGTGTGGTACATTCACCAAGAAGTCATCTGATCCTGGTTTATGGGAAGATTTTTAACTACAAATTCAGTTTCTTTCATGGATAGAAGGTTATTCAGTTATTAGTGTCATCTTGAGGGAGTTTTATATCTTTCAAAGCATTATCCCATTTCATCAGAGTTGTCAGATGTATTGGCAATAAGCTCATAATATTATTTTTTGTCTTTTTATTGATTTTAAGTCTGTGTGATGTCCCCTCTTTCATTACTAATATTGGTAAATTTGAAGCTTATTTTCTTTCTTTATAATCAGTCTAGCTAGAAGTTCGCCAGTTATGATCTTTCAAAGAACCAGCTTGTGGTTTAGGTGATTTTCTGTGTTCTGCTTTGCATTTTTATTGATATTCTTCTTGGTTTTTGTATGTCCTTCATTTTGTTTGTTTTGAGTTTAACTTTTCTTCTGCTTTCTTAAGGTGAAATTGAATTTATCATTGATCTTTCAGGTTTTTAATGTGACAGCTGAGATTACTGATTTGAGACCTTCTTCTTACTTAGTAGAGCATGTAATGCTATCAGGTTTCCTCTAAATCGTGTTTTGGCTACATTCCACAAATTTTGATCTTATTATTTTTCTCTACAAAGTACTATCTAATTTCCTCTGGGATTTCATTTGATTTATGCTTACATAGAAGTGGTGTTAGCATCCTAATATTTGTGATTTCCACTTTTATCATTTGAACCATTTTAATTCTGTTGAGGTTAGAGAACATATTCTATATGTGTCGATTATTTTAAACTTTTTCAGAATTGCTATACAGCTCAGAATGTGTTCTTATTGAATGTTGCATGTACACTTGAAAATAATGTGGATTCTGCTGTTGTTGGAAAAGTGTTATATTAATATAAATACCAATTAGGTCAAGTTGCTTGATAGTATTTTTAAAGTCTGCTGTTTCCTTCTTTTCTGTCTACTTGTTCTGTCAATTACTGAGAGAGGAGTTGGAAACCTTCTATATTTGTCTGTTTCTCTATTCAGTTCTATTACTTTTTGCTTTATGTATTTTGAAGCTCTGTTATTTGACGCATATATATTTAGAACTATGTTTTGTCGATGAACTGACCTATTTGTCATTGTGAGATGTCCCTATGCATCCCTGATAATACTCATCCACTAATATTCATTGTTCTGCAGTCTTGCCTGTTACTGATACAGCTACTTCAACTCTCTTTTGAGCAGTAATTGAGCACATAATTATGTGATGGTATAGTCTTCTATCCTTTTATGTTAAACCTGATGTTAAACTTTTTACATTTCTGTAGATAACATATAGTTGGGTTTTACTTTTTTCCTCTCCATTGTGACAGTAGCTTCCTTGGATATTATAATATTTTTAAGCTAATTGAAGATCATGAGCTGCAAATAGCATCCACCCCTGTCATTTCTGTGTCCATTTCTGCTGGTTTCCTTCTTTTTCTCCTCCAGGCTATGGGTTGCATTTGTCTTTGTCTTTGCAGGCCTGGTGACTTTGTATTAGGTGTTGGACAATATGAAGTTTACATCCAGTGAAGTGCTAGATTTTTCTTGAAATTATTTGCTTTATTTAGCTTTGCCCTGGCATAGAATTAAGATCTGCCTGTGTCTTTAACATCTCATAGGATTTTTTTTCTCTAGAGGGTCCAGTGCTCACAGGATCTATCTGTTGCCTTACATGAGTCGTTTTAGGTGTTTGGAAAAAAGTGACCATGTCAGTCTTTTCTGTAACAACTGACAAAGTGGGGACATTACCTCATGTTATTATTCAAGTAGTCGTGTTTATATGATTATTTAAAATGCCAATTTAGATAAACCATAATGCTTCGTATGTATTTAGGTGTTAACATCTGTCCTAATCAGCGTAGATTAAAAGTGGAAAGTACTCCCGTTATTTCTGACACATTTCTGATAACTAGCTTCTTAATTGGCTCTATGAATAACTCCATTAACCTCTGTGTTCTCTGTGGTTAATCCTCATAGCTAATGACAACGAGGGAAATGCTCTTTTCCCGTGCTACCTGGCTGTTGTTTGGTCTGTATTCAGCAGGGTTCGTGTTATTCTCTGACCCCGTATTAAGTGGTGCTACAGCTCTCCCTGCGCTGCCGCCTTTCCCCTTGGCCTCTGGTGGAGGCTGTTCCGTGATTTCCCTTCCTCAGCGTTGTGAGAAGTGACTGAACCGCTTTCTGCGGAATGCAGAGGTGTCTTAGAAACACTAGTGGCGCAGTCCTTGTGCATCCACTGCTTTGGAAAACAAACATGGCCCAACAAGGCCCTGCTGGGGCCACTGCCTTCCCCGCGTGCTGTGCCAGCTCAGGGGAGTGAACTCAGGGAGTGCCCGAGGTCCACATTCAACAAGAGAGGATCAGCCAGCGCAGCAACGGTGCCTACGCTAAGTCGTGTTCAGCGACAGCAGGAGACGCTGTGCAGCTGAGCCCTGCTTGTGTTGAATAGGGCAGTTTCAGAGCTGATAACCCCCCCTTAAGACAGCTGTCGGAGGTCGGATCATTCCTCGGAAGCCACGGCGCTGTGTCACATGGCTGGAAGAGCCCCCCTGGGAGGAAGGCCTGGTGGTTGATGCCCTGTCCCCCTCACTGAAGTCTCTCCCTCCTCCTCCCCAGGGGTTGAAAAACTCATCCGCCACCTGCAAAAACACAACATACCCTTTGCCGTCGCCACCAGCTCCGCATCTGCGTCGTTCGAAATGAAGACAAGCAGACACAAGGAATTCTTTGGTCTGTTCTGTCACATCGTTTTGGGCGACGACCCAGAAGTGAAGAGCGGGAAGCCGGAGCCCGACATATTCCTGGCCTGTGCCAAGAGGTTCTCCCCGCCTCCTCCCGTGGAGCAGGTAGGTGGGTGCGGGGGACCGGCAGTGACAGCAGGCTGCATTTCACCAAGCCATGCCATGTGCTCGCTGTTCCGCACAGAAGGCCTTGGTTTCCGCTGTGGAAGGGTCAGTGTGGGCGCTCCTTAGGACTTGGGTACGAGGGCGGGGGTGGCCTGGCTGAAAGGCTTTGTGCAGAATCGAGGCTGCGCCTAAGCTACCCGGCCCCTGAGACTGGCCCGGAATCTTCTGGATCGCAGGAACGTGTCTAGGAAAGCTCGTGGTGCCAGAACACTGCTCTCCGGGCAGATGTTCATCAGGGAAGGGGGTTGCAATGATTGGGGGCTCACAGTATCCTTCTTTCCAAGGAGCAGGCTCTAAAGGCAGGTAGGTGTATGCCACAATTCAGATGCAAATGGTCACAACTCACATCCTCTCCCGCATTGCTCGTCACGTGGCAATCTGTCACTGCAGAGCTTTTGCTTGCATAATGACGTTTGGCTTTTATCGAGAAGTTTTTGGACTTCCACCAGTCTCCCTGTGGGAAAGTTGCCGTGGTAGACTTGTGTGCTGTAGCGCCCCATCCTGCTTCATCACACGCCGTCCACGGTGGAGACAGGCTGATGGCTTCCTGCTCTCCTGTGTACGCTGGTCCTTCTAAAGGACCTGGAAGAACAGTTAGGGAGCGGTGACCGTGCTGTCCAGCCTGACTGCACGTTCTCCCGACGGCCCTGTGGCTGCGGACATGGAGTGCTTGGCCTGAATTGTCTGAGGATGCACGTTCTGGAATAACAGGAGACATCCTCGGAAGGGGTGTCCTGCCAGAGACGCAGTTGATGAGTGGCTGGGGAGGGCGTCCATCCCCGGGGTGGTGCTGTGGATCCCTGCGAGCGCCACCTTCCCTCTGGGTGCCTGTGTGTGGGGGCGGTAGTAGTAGGGGGGAATTAGTTCATGAAGGGAGTATTTCGGTGGAACGTCTCTGACTGTGAGATGCGGATGGGATCGCTGGCCCACAGCTACACCGGTGACAAGCCTGGGGAAAATTACTCAGAAACCTCTTGCCCAGGAAAACTGGGGCTACTGGAATATTCTCTAAAGATCTGGCTTTGGCCTAAGGTCCACCTTACTACAGGGAACCTGTGAAGGCGGTTGGCTTACGTGAGTCAGCGTGCCGTCTGTCCTCTGAGTCTCCCACACCAGCTGGGGGTCCGGCAGTGCAGTTCCGTCCTGACACTAACTCCCAGGCCTAGTGCAGACCCCACAGGTTAAGGGCTCAGTCCCATTGCCTGCCCCGACAAAGGACATCCATCCCAGGGGTGTCCCAGGGGCCACTCATGTTTCTGATCCACTGGCTAGAAGCTGGGGGTTCCTGCAACCCCCCTCAGCTCTGATAGTCCCCTAAAATGACTCACAGAGCCCAGAAAACCGCCATACACATAACACTGGTGTGTTGTAAAGCAGTGGTCCCCAACCTTTTTGTCACCAGAGACTGGTTTCATGGAAGACAGTTTTTCCAGTGACCAAGGGATGGGGGGATGCGGAGCTCAGGCGGTGGTAAGAGCAATGGGGAGCGGCTGTAAATACAGATGAAGCTTCACTTGCTTGCCCGCTGCTCACCTCCTCCTGTGCAGCCCAGTTCCTAACAGCCCAGGGACTGATAGGGGTTGAGGACTGCAGTTGTAAAGGATGCAACTCAGGAATGGCCAGAGGGAACAATGTGTAGAGCAGGGTGTAGGAGTGGGCACAGAGCCCCCACACCCTCTCCTGGCCCCTGACGTGTGTGAGCAGTCTCAAAGCTCCCCAAGCCCCATCACTGAGGGGTTCTATGCAGGCTTTGTGATGAGTGATTAAATCACAACCACTGGTCATTGAACTCAATCCTGACGGACCCTGTCCCCTCCCTGGAGGTCAGGGTGGGGCTGAACACTGCATACCTCTACTCACACATTTGGTCTTGCTGGCGCCCGGGCCCCATCCGGAAGCTATCCTGGGGCCCACCAAGAGACACTTGTTAGGTTGAAAAGTGCTGGTGAAGCCCTCAGGAAATTCCAAGTGTTTTAGGAGCCCCATACCCTGAACCAGGGGCAGAGACCAAGTATGTGGTTTTCCATGATGCCATGACCATGAAAAGTCATTGAATGGCAGCGATGCATTTATAGCGGTTCACATCCCTGGGCTAATTCAAGTCTCATTACTGAATTCCGCTCTACCACAGCTGCCTGACGCAGGCCACCCCTGAGACCACTCAGCTAGTGAGTGAGAGCGTGCATGCTAGCCGCCAGGGGACACAGGTCCCTTCCCTTTCAGGCACGTGTGTCTGCTTCCTACATTTAGACACCTGTATGCCTGCATGCTTGGCGTCCTGCGTCATTGAAATGTGTTCGTTATTCCCACGAATCCACCCCCCCCCTTACAAAAGAATGACTGCATAGCTTCAGGTTATAAAGTTTTCCTGCCAGGGACCGCGTTCCCTTGTTCGTTTATCTTACTGTTGCTGTTCGCTAGTCTAGTGCGAGTGCCGCCCTCCATGAATGGATCCCCCAGAGTGGACCATAGCATGCCAGCGCTTGGGTTCAGCACGGCGCCTGCAGACTGATGGCAGGCTAGGGAAAATGTAGCCTGTGGCAGAAGCAGGTAAACTGCCTCTCACCTGTGGGCAGTCCTTGTTTTGCAAGGCACCGTGTTAATGGGAAGGTGGTGTTTCTGTGTTGTAAAGTGTCTGTGGAAGCGAAGTTTATTTGGAGCCCACATGCCGGCTTTGCGTGAGACCCCTTACGGTGGAACCCTGCCGAGCCAGGGCTCTCCCAAGCAGGAATAGCTCTTCACAGGGTAACCTGTGAAAAAGAGGCCTGCAGAACAGTGTTGGAACAGTGTTGCAATAGTGTTGTGAGGCCCTGGTGTTCCTCTGGTTGACAATGTGTGTTTGAGGCTTGTCAAAGAAAAATGAGCAACTGTGTATTCTTTTTTTTTTTTTTTTTGCAACTGTGTATTTTTGAAGTAGGTTAGCACTTGGAGAGTTCTAAACAATCACCCATGTTACTACTCTGTGTTTACTCATGGATGTATGAACACTTGTCTTGCAGAAATGAATCCTTTCTTGTCACAGTTCATATGTAGATACAGTGAAGGCTTTGGGGGTTTTTCTCATGTGATGCACCTGTTGTAGTACTGAAGAAAGGTTCCAGCGAGCTCCTTGGTGGGGGGGAGTGGGGAGCACCCCTGACTTCGTGCTTGCGTGTCTTGTACGTGCAGCTGTGGAGGTAGGACGGAGCTCTGCAATGACGTCGCGCTGCCTTGCCCGGGTCCCAGTGCCAGTGGGAGCCTGCGGGGCAGGTCCCTGCGCAGTTCACGGACATCTCGTGCAGATCGTGAGGTCACTGAGGGGATCCAGAGTCGCCTGACGGAATTTAATATGCCATGGGTCACTCAAAGTGAATTAGGTATAGTAGTAGTAGCAGTGGTGGGAAAGTAGTAAAAACCAAGTAGTATCAAATGGTCGTGAATTACCTCATTTTTATAGGATATCAGCACTTCCCTAAAACCAAAACCAGATAAAAGCCAGAAAAGAAAACTAGAGCTCTCATGAACTCGGACACATACCTCCTCATTGAAAAATAACATTCATCCAGAGTAAAAATATCCTACATGAAGAGCTTCAGTGAAGTTTGAAGCCACTGGTTAAACATATTAAAATGCCACACCATTTAATTAGTTTGCAACAACCACTGATTAGTATCTGGAGGATTAAATTTATTAGCTAACTTTCAATTTCAACCATAAGCTAACTGAGATAAAAGAATGGCTATAATAAAAAAAAAATAGCCAGTAATGAACTTCTGTCTGAATATACACAGTGATTAAAGCTGAGTATCAAAATGATTTGAATTTAAAACAAGATTTTTAAATTACTGTATCACCCAACTTTAAACCAACACTTAAAAAAAAAAAATAATGGAGAACATTTAAAACACATGGCTGTCTCCAAAACACATAGTAAAAAGAGTATTTTGTCAAAGCGCGTTGGTGCTATTCATTTTACAATTTTAAATACAGGTTATGTTATTTTAGCATATGCTTCCAACCTTTCTGCTTCTGTGAATATTCTGCAATGTCCCCAATGTGGCGGCACTGTAGTGGTATACATGGAATGAACCAACGTGCCTATACTGGGAG